GAAAGTACGCATAATAAGGGCATAATATGGAGTATGGTGAAAGAGAATACACACACAAGCAGGTAATGCATGAAAACGATAGTAACTAGTTAGTGTGTAAAAGTTTTTAGTTAAGAGCTATTTAGTTATTAACAAACTAAGATTTTATTCAAGCATGAACAACACAAAGCAAGACAATGGCAGTCAAATAAATTTTCCTTTTGTTCTCACAGTTTCTGCTCTGGTGATGTTCTTTAACATGTCAAGTACATGTACTCTATAGCATGTAATGAGTACTAAGTACTATGTCCTAGATTTTTACCAAATATTATGAGTATTAACATAAATACAATGATACATTGATACATTGATACATGAAAATGAATTTTAGTAGAGTGTAAATAATGTATCGCCTATCAGTTTCATCACTTGGATCATAGCGTCCATCTTCGGCAAGGGTTGACAACTGGCCTTTAAAAAACTTTTCCATTCGTTCAAGTAATTCACGCCACCATCTTTCAATTAATGACCATAAATGATACTCTCTGTTGCATCTTCCAAATCACCTTGTTTGCTTCTAAGATAGCTGTGAATGGTAGCCATTACTCCTGTTTCAGTCCCTTTGTCTATTCTTATTCTGTCTGGTAACACTAACAAAGAAAGAAAATCCAAGAAACCAAATATATAATTATTGCATCATTTATAAATTAATATAAGCAATCTAACATAAGAAAAGGGATACTGCTATGACTAATAATGATATTAAAATATTGGAAGGAATTACATCAAAGGTCATTAAAAAATTTTAATTCAGTCATGCATATTGAGGGTCACATTAATTTTACCTTTACTCTGGAACAGGTAGTCAAAATAAAATCTGCCAATTATCTTTGGGTCATTATTCGTCGTCCAAATTCAAAGAAAATGGATTTTCCCACTGAAAGTATCTTGGCCGCCATAGATACAAAGCGGGAACATTGACAGCCCCCTATATTACAAAGTATGACCAATTATTAGTCACCAGATTATTGGTAATTACATTAAGCTTAATACTGTTGCTTGAATGAATACTTACATTTGTAACAAATGCTTTATTTCTCTTGGGACGTTTTGGTTTCCCAACGCCACCTCTGGATTCAAGACCTTCGGGGTTGACATCCGCTATGGCATCATACACTAAGTTCCTAGGTACGTTAAGGCCGTGTACGTCCCTTATTTTCTTGTGCATTGCACGATATCCAAGCAGTTTTCCTGGCCCCTTCATCTCAACTTCAACTGCATTCTTGACTTCGTCTACACCAGTGTCATAGTCAACATATTTAATTCCAAAGAATTTAAGACGACGCGAGAGTGTTCTTTTGCTCCAGGCATAAATAGGGTACTGAACATTCATTAAGTCTAAGGTCTCATGCTGGCGATAATTACGGCGAACATATTGTTCCAGATCCTCTTTTAATTCCATGTCTTCTTTCCAATCGACATTTCTTACACACTCCGCCATGTTTGTTTACACAGGAAGCCCGATCCAAGCCTCGAAATAGTTAAGATATTTTTTTCATATTTTGAGATTCAGTTGATACAACCTATTCTCATTTCTATTTTATCTAATTTGTGTTGTGTTTTGGTGGGTTTCGTTTGCTCTAAAGTCTTTCAGCTACGACTATTTTCTTGCAGGAAATGTTTGGGCTGCCTGTGTTTTGATCACTAGGTCTACCCGCATTGCATTCTGGTCTATGGCGTCAGTGGGCCATAAACAATGTTTTTTTTTTTTTTTTTTTTTTTTTTCTTTTTTTTTTCTTGACGAAGTTAAAAATAAAATAAAATAAAAACATAGAAATAAAATAAGAAATTATATATTTTTTTGTCAAAAAATAGCAAAAAACCCTATGGCGTCATTGGGCCACCATAGATGTGTAGGGAAACGATGAAAACGTGTTCACGTTTGCCGTTTGCGGGAAGGAAAAACGGGAACCTTAATCTGCCTAATCTTTTATGGTATTTCCCTTCACTTTATATCTTGTGGCGAGCAGTTCATCACAAGTTGCGCACTGAAAACTGTATAGTAGCAGGTTCAGTTGAATAAAAGGATTATTTACTGGAATTATTGATTGGTGAATAAAGGTTTTTCCAGCTTTTTTCCTTACCGGTATCTAAATGTTTTCTTCATTTTCTTCAGGAACTTTCTCATTACCCTCGTCTCTTTCCTGTACTTGGTTCAACAGCAGCAGTTGTATGATGTCGTACACCATTCTAAACAACTCGTGCAAGGCTCTCAGTAGGTTCATCAGTGGTACAATAACAGCTTCGTTTGGATCACTCATCGTGTTTACTGCTGTGGTGTAGTGGCATTAATACTGTACGTACGATAAAGATGGAAAAGCCCAAAGCCAATTAGCGAGAGGTTTTTCAGCCGTGTCGTGAACGTGTTCATTCTTCCATGAAGATTCCCAAAAGCTTTTGATCGTGACTTTGAGATATTCTTAATGGAGCATGAATACGTTCGCGACACGGTTGAAAAACGCTCGCTAACATTGGCTATCTTTCTAGGACACTGTAGCCAAGTTCACTTAAGAGGCGATGCCGGCCAAGAAAAATGAAGCAAAATCAAAAATTCGTGGCCACGCAGTCTAACAATCAAATACCTTAATTTTTGGCTTGTAGAAAGGTTTTAGTGAGTTTAGCAAAGTGTTGGGGTTTATTTGACAATTTATAAAGAAATCCGTGAAAAAATCGAAAAAAACGATTTCCGCTTGTCGCTCGTCTAAACCGTAGCTGCGACGTCAGTACCAGCGGATAACGCTAGCTAGGGTTACAAAAACTTGTTCTCGGTAACAAAGCAGCTATAATTTATTGGTAACCGCTCACCCAATTTTGATAGATTGCAAATTTAACACTATTCATTCATATCAGTTTAACGTTTAAATTCAATAAATTTAAAAGCGTAGAAACACTTTTTTTGTAAGGGACTGTGCAATAATTATCAG